TTTCCTTTGCAAAGGGAGCAGTGCCTTGCAGCCAGACAAACGCCAGCCTCCGGTGGAGACAGGCCAGGAATCGGATTGTGGCTGTTGCCTATCTGCTCCTCGGCCAGGTTCTGTGGTTCTCTGCCTTGGTTTGCTGCTTCTTGGTCCAGTAAGGGCAGCCAGCCGGCTTCTGGACTTGACAGTAAGAAGGAGCCCTGCTGAATGGAGGGTCCTGGGCTATGTCCTAAGGGCTTCTGGGAAGCCGAGTGCGGAGTGGAAAGTTGGAGGTCCCTGACAGAGCAGCACCGCCCTGCCGGGCCAGATGTCTGAGCCTCAACACAGGGCCTTTCAGAAGGAAGCTGGCCTCAAGTGTGGACTGTTCCCTGGCCAGGGCACGCCACAGGCTGCCAGAGTCCCGGCCTCCCCAGCATGCAGTGAGGAGTGAGGGAGGACTCAGCCGCTGACGACGAAAACTCAGGTGTAAGGTCAGAGGGACAGAGCTGAGCATCCTGATCTGCGTCACGTCACACATGGAGCCCTTTCCCCTGGAGAATGAACTAGAAACCCATGCCACCTGTGTGGTCAGAAAGGCAGACGCAGGCCCTGACCCTAAGAGCCCCATTGCTAACAGGAGATAGGGGTCACCAGACACCGCTCATGGCCAGCATGAGCGCACCCCTTCACACGCCACCATGCCGTCCCCAACCGGGGCGTCAGGATGCTTCAGCCCACTCTGGTGAAGGCTGGGGCAAATCCGGCCTGGGCGGAAAGGTGAGAGTAGGTAATTACAGAACTTCAAGCCATTCAGTTTGATTACATCAAAATTACAACCTGGAAAATCAGGCATGAACTTTGTGGCATAAAAGAGAATCAGTGTGACGCCAGACCATGCTCTAGTCATTGCACTCACCGGGGAGTCACGCCCGTCCGCCCCGGTCCACAGTGGCTACATATGGCTGTTGACTACTATATTGGACAATGCAGGTATAGAGCAATCTGGGTGAATATTTGGGGGGGAAGGACTAGGAGTAGGGAGAGCAATCAGGATTAGGACACCAGAGGCATGGAGGTGAGCACAAGGCAGGATGTGTGTCTCTGGAAATAGAAATGAATGGAAGGATCACTGCCTGTGTGGAGACCCAAGAAGTCAGGGTCTCCTGACTCCTTTATATGGAATATTCCCTCTTGACATCTTGTAAGACAGCACAGCCATCCTGTTTTCCTTTTCCTTTCCTTGCTGGCATTTGCCTCTACTTTAACCCCAATACTGGAGCTTCCCAAGGTTGACTTCCAGGCAGATTTACTCAGTTCTCGAGCTTCATAAAGTGCATTGTTTTTGGAAACTCTTGCAGGAATCTGCCTAGACTTAGCCAGTCTTCTGAATCCCAGGCTGTGTCAATGCCTTTCCTGTTCTCCCCACTAGGTGACCTGTTACCTGAGGTTCAAGACTGAGCAGATGATCGCCCCCAATCCCTCCCACTTGCAGCTTCCAGATCCAATGATACTTACTTATACTCTACCCTTCGCTGGAAAACCTTTACCCACTGTAGCCAAGTCCTGTCTGTCTGTCCTCCCACTGCCACCTTACCAGTCACCTTCCCTTGGATTACTGCCAATGCCGTCCTGTTCTCCCCATCCCCTTCCTCCCAGTGCACCTTAATTTTTCCAACCAATTGCAAAAATGAATTTGCAAATTGCAAATGACTTCCTATCATTCTCTCACCTAACACCAATCTCTAGCTTCCTGTTCTTAAATAAAATTTAAACTCCTTACCATGAATAAATGTTGCTGTGCTCTCATTCCTGAGAGCATTTTATTACTTACTTCATTTTTCTTACTCATTATTATTCGAACACATTGGCCATTTTCCACTCCCTGTGATATGACAAACTCTTTCTTATTCCAAGTGTCTCCCCTAGAATGCTGGTACTGACTCCTTCTCATCTCCTGGGTGTTACAGCTACCTTCCCTGACTGTTCCTGTTCCTATGTCCTCTCTGTTGAAAATGCTAACAAGCTTGCCTTCTTTCATAGTGAAAGTGTATTTGCTGGCTTGTTGTTACTTGTTTCTTCCCCTGTAGAGTGTAAACACTACGAGGGGAGGGATGGCACTAGCCTCCTGTACAAGAGTAGTTCTTGAATGGATGAATGAATGATAAGACTTAATAAAGAACATCCTTAAAGCCTTTTAAAAAAATTAAGGGATACATGCAAATGACAGCAAATCATTTAAATACTAATGCATCTTGGCCATAGTCTGGGCTAGATGCCAACTGAACTTTGTGCAAGGATATGATAAATGAGCTAATAAAGGAAAAACAATCTCTTATATCCTTGCATATAAATTTTTTATTAAGTTACTTGCTGTGAAGATCGACTAAGTTATTCTCAATGATACCCTAAGTCAAAGGCAGGATGCCTTTCTCTGCAATTGAGATTAAATGATTCCAATATGGCAGAATGGTAATAACTGTAACTCACCCAGCGGCAGTAAGCCAAGAACCTTTTACAAGTTCATGGCTTGATAGGACTGGTACAAGTTCTTTCTCACTCTTGTTTAGTACCCTAGACTGCCTGCCTCCAAAGATGGCCAAATTTTGATATCTTTAGTAGGTCTTATATTACATGGATTTATATATATATATATATATATATATATATATATATATATATATATATATATATATAATTGGAGAACTCAAAATATAATCAATATGATAATAACACATTGGGTATGTAGCTTGAGGGAGCGCTGACTCTCTAACCTCACTGCATTTAACATAGCACAGAAAGCAAATAGCTGTCTATGAGCCACCCATGACCTTGAACAACAGTTCATTTGCCAAAGGCCTGCAAAAAGGCCCTGGACTCAATTTAAGTTTCTCAGCTGGGATTTGTTGGAAAAGTGAGCAAATAAAAATAACGTCTGTCTACAAATAATTTTTGAGGAGCTGCTATGTCTCAGACTGTGAAAATGATAATGATGAATGAATCCAAAATGATTCCAGCTTTTGAGGAATTCACAGTCTAATCATGGCTTTACTTGATAAGTAAATATATATTACTAGGTGGAAGAGAAAACTCCATAGTAGAGGTGAAAATAAGTTGCTGCTGTCGATGCTGTTTTATGAGGGTGCAGATCACTGAGCACTGACTTCCAGAGAGTGGGAACGTTTCACTTAAGACTCAAGGCCAATGTCCATAGCCAGAATGCATGTGTTGGGAGTTGTCTACAGTACAATACAAGCATACAAATCAATCCATAGCGAGAAAGAAAGAAAAGAAAAGAAAGTGGGAGTGTGGAGGAAGGCAGGTTACAAACCTCTTGGCAAGACTTGGGGGCTGCAGTACAGGGCGGCAGGACTCCATCTGCAGAGACGGGGCAACCCTCTGAGGATAGTCCCCATGGTCTCTCGCCAAACCTGGAGGAGTACTCCAGGCTTGGCGTCCATAACATCTCAAATTGTCTCACAGTTGGTATCTAAAGTGATACCATCTTTCAGAGATAGAGAATCAGAAGCACCTGGTCAGAAGTTAAGTTAGGTGGGGCTGCACAGGCCTGCTGGGTTCTCACCTCTCCTGTGTTTCTGTGTCTCTATCGGCACCTTCAGAAACACATGGCTGTCTTCTGTTGGCAGCTCAAGAGGCTTGGTCTTCAAGTGTGATCTGAAGCATTTCGGAGTGGTTGACTGGCGTATAGTTGCGCCACTGAAAGTAGGAGAAGTTGGCAGAGGGCCGTTTTTTAAAGTGGAGTTAGGCAGCCATTACAGAGAAAAGAAATCACTTGCCTCATTTGAACGGGGCGTGGTGTGGTATGAGCCAAAAGCAATTGTTTCAAGAAATCAAGAAGCAGACGATGGCTTGAGCAGCCATCAGGGCCGGGAAGACTGACAAGTATGTTTTTGTTTTTGTTTTTTTGCTAGAAGATAGAATCTACCAATTGTGTAGAGCCAAGAGGTTAAGCTTGCTAATGCCAGTTAGCTCTTAATTTTAAACACTAGCTTTCTCTTTTCTTCCCATGAAAAAACACCTTTTGTGCATCGTCTGATGGGCTGTGGCCACCAATCTGTTAATCCAGGTCTCCTGGTTTTGCCTCCCATTTGCTTTCTATTAATTCCAGGAAACCGTACATGAGGGACAAAGATGACCTTGGAGGTCGTGCTTCAGTTACGTTAATCATAACATTGAATTGCCAAGAGTCCTCCCCCACGCAGAGACAAGAGGAGGAGGCGACAAATGGTGTTGCAGGGAGGCTCAGTCTGAGCGGTGACTTTAGGTGTCCCTGGGTCCAGGGCTGGACTGTGTCCAGCTCGTTTTGTCTCTTCTAGTGCCTGCACACTGCTCTGTTCATAACAGGTGCGCATCAGTGCACAGGTAGGAAAGGGATGAAGCAAGACATGCAAAGGAAACGGGTGCACGCTAACGACTGTAGGGTCGAGCTACTGCGTAGGTGTCTGTCACAAAGGCTGACCTGGGCCAGAAGACTGACCTCTCAAAACTGGAGCCAGGGACAGAAAAGAAAGGGGTAAGGCTGTGCACCCGAACCTATGTTGCCTGTCACCTCGACGGTCGCCTTGACGGCAGAGAGGCGCTCAGGTGAAGTGACACCAGTGGGCGCGGCCACGGAGGCGAACCTACGGTAGCGGGAACCCAACTGTCAGGGGCTGTGTCGCCAGCCTTGCCAGTGGGTCTGCCTGGCGTAGTGCCCAGTGGGGAGAAGCACTGCCTCCACCCGTCCGGGAGCAAATGCAGAAGTCTAACAAACCAGGGCAGCAAAACTCCACTCACAGTAGTTTCCAGGGATCGTTCCCTCCTGAAAGAGCCCCTCCCCAGACTACTGGCACCATGCGGTCCCTTCAGCTACATGTCTCTGAGACTGACGCAGGCCAAAGGAAGTCTGTCTAAGGGCAGGGTGTGTTAGGGAACGGGCAGGAGACCTGCGGGTTTACCTGTTCTTAAGAACCCTGCTTCCTGCTGAGTGACGCATCTTCCTCCCCGCCCGCCCTGTCTTGGCTTGGCAGGCCACGGCTCGTGTTCCTGCGGTCGCTGTGTTTGTGAGCGAGGATGGTTCGGGAAACTCTGCCAACATCCACGCAAGTGTAACCTGACGGAGGACCAGAGCCAGAGCCTGTGCGAGGCGGCAGATGGGACGCTGTGCTCAGGAAAGGGTGAGTAAGCACCCAGAGCTGGCCAGGCTGCTCCACAGTGCGCGCAGCCCGCTCCTGGCCACTGCTCTGCATTTACGGACCCCTGGCCTAGGCCCACTGGCCTCAGGGAAGTGACATCCTGCAGGTGAGGAGCTGGGACAGTGACATGCAGGAGCTGGGTGTCGAGAATGATTCTCAGCCACAGGCAGTGTGTGTGGCTGAGTGGGATAGTTAAGGAGCTCGTGAAGAACAAAAGCCCATCACGGGCCATAGCCCAATGCACACAGCCCTATTTTTTTAATGGCCCTTTGAGTTATTTTATTTTTCCAATTCATTTATTTTAAAATACTTTTTTAGAAGTTGAGGCAGCCTTGGTTTCCAGCTGTTGGATTTAGGGGAACAGCATAGCCCAGAATGGTCAGATGGCCCCAAGTGTGTAACATGCCAATAAATATGACCCCAGATTTTCAGAAGTCACACTCCAGAGGTGCCTGTGGATGTGGCGGGGGCTGCAATATGAGCAAGACCCAAGGGGAGACTCAGCATTTCCTTTCATTGAAAAAAGGAAAGAAAAGTATTGGGCCCCCAACACCTGCCGGCTTGCTCATCACCCATGTTCTCAGCAAACGTGTGCAAGCTAATATAAAATATATTTTTAATGTCAGCTGCATCGTGGTTATGCGCTGCAAGTTGACTGAGAAGAAGTCACCAAGCCAGTCAGTCATTCACCACAGAAACAAATTCAGGAAGAAAAACAGGCCTGCCCAGAGTCCTGCCCCCGCCGAAGCGAAGCTCCCTCTGCAGTAGAGAACGAGAATAAACAGGTCAACTCTGGAGACCTTGATTTTGATGTTTCTGCATAAATTCTTCAGGGGCTTCCAAATGCTGCTCTAGAGCTGGGCGCATGGCCCCAAGGTGCTCAGAAAGACCCTGCGAGCTAACTGTCGGGGAGCTGCCCCATGAGAACCAGAAGGCAGGAGCCTCCTGACTCCTCTTCAGCCCCCTGAGTGCCCACCAAACTGGCAACCTCCCTGAGGTGCCCTCCAGCTGCACTTAACCTCAAACCCTCCCTGGGCAGGCCTAGCTGTAAATGTCTTTCTTCAGGAGACTCAAGAAGCAAGGTGGTCACTCCAGCCAGCACTGCCAGGGGCATCGGCAAAGCCAAAGCAGGTGTGGTCACGAGTGACGCCAGGAGGAAGACTGAAGACTGGGATAGACGCGCTTACTTCAGTGCGTCCTTGGCTTGGGGAATCCCACCCTAGTGGGCGTTTTCCGCCTTTCAGGGGCACGCCTTCCTCCCTCACAGGTGGACTGCAGCCGGGCATCAAGGGGGCAGAAGGCAGTGACTTTGCTCCCAGCTTGTTCTCCCCTTAAACTCAGTCTGTGTCTAGCCCCAGTCACATTTTTTTACCAGTCTGGTTCTCAGTTGGCCTTGACTCCTGGAAATGCCTGCTTTGGGGTCAAGTGCTGTGGGAAGTAGCAAAAAGGAGGAAGGAGGGGGTGTAAGGAAGAGACAAAGGGCAGGGCTTGGAGAAGGAAGGATGAAGAAAATAGAAAAGGAGGAAAAGATTAATGAGAAACAAAAGCAAAGGAGAGGTAGCATTGAGTGGGGGTAAACACTGGGAAGAAACTTTCCAGACCTGAGCATCCTGCTCGGAGGAATGGAGAACACTTGACTTGTCTGAATTCACTTTTTTTGGTACTGTTTTTTGAGGTAATGTTACAGGGCAACCCCAGTGTAAATTGGGTTGCCTGACTAGGTCTTCACCTGCACACTTATAATAAGATTCAACTGCAGGGGCACATGAAGGTTAACAGTGGGTTTATTTACAAGAGAAAGGGAAATGAATAACTCAGGGAAGAAAGAGAGAGACCAGTTGGTTAATGTGTCCTACCAGTTCCGCTGACCTGGAACCTCAATAGCACGTTGGGAGCTGGTGAAAGCCGGTCCCGCGGTCCTCCCTGTGGTGATGCTGGGATATGTAGTTCCGATCTCTGGCGTGGGGGTGGAGTCCACAAAGCCTGAGTCTGTAGAGTTGGTTCAGCCTTTCTCCCCAACAGTAACACTGTGTATGATTTAGATTCACCCCTCCTGGGATATAAGTCACCTCTGCATTTACCACCAGAGCACACACACTCCACCTCCATCAGTCCCTCCCTCTCTCCCTCGAGCAGCCTCAATTCCACTGTCAGGTTTCCAGGATCTGTTTTCCTCTGACCATTTGCTTGATTTCTCTGTATTCCCTACATAAGGGGGTTGTCCCATACATGTCTTTCTCCTGCTTTACCTCCATTATCATCATTCTCTCCAGTTTCCATCGTGTTGAGGCAAATAGCAGATCATCGTTTTCTGTACAGCTGAGTGTACTCCACTATGTGTGTGTTATGTTTGGGGTCAGTGTTCGTGGCAGGGGTGGGGTGCCTACCGTGGGCAACAGCTGCCTGGGGTCCCTTCTTTCCTTCTCTTCTGTGGGCATCACTGCTGGATTTGAGAAGAAGGAAGAGATCAGAGCTCTGTGCTTTGTGATGGGCACAGAAAATGTTGGGCACATCGTGTCAGTGCTGTCCCCACACCCATGAGAGTGCCATCTCATTCCAAGAACCACAGGACAAGTCACTCATGAAATAGCCTATGGGTCTTTAGCAGGTGAGAAATCTGACCCGAGATATGTGTGATTGACCAGGTAGGGCTTTTTTATAATAGTTTATTTTTACATCATTTTGTGCCTTTTCCCATCTCAGTTGCAATCCCCGTGGGCTTCCCTTCACCAAATCACCTGTGTGCCATCACCATAGTCCAGTGCACTTCCCTCCCCCCACTGTTTTTGATCCCCTTCCCCACTCCTCCCCGGTAAAATGCCTCTGATAGATAGTTGTCATTATTATTATTATTTTCTACCCTTGACCAGGTAGTTTTTGAGAGAGCCCATGATTTGCAGATTTGTCAACGCAAACCCTTCAACCTGATTATCACCCTAAAGCCTTTTTCTTGCTGGATGATGGGACCTGTCTAAGTGGGGGGGCCTGAGGTATTTAACCCTTAGCAGCTGAGCCCAGTGAAGTGTTTCCAGCAAAAAGCCTTTCATGTGAAACACAGCTTCCGAGCTGTGAATAAAGTCGGCGCCTCGGGAGACAATGAAGAAATAGCATTTTATTTCTTTACAAATTTATAGCGAAGACAATAAATCACTCCCTAGAAAAATTTAAAACGAGAGACAGTGCTGTGACCTTCAGAGCAGATGGAGTAGTTAGTGTAATAGCGGAATCGCCTGCTGTGTCACTTGCAGCATTTTGTCAGGCATGAGGAACAGAAAAAGAAATTCCAGCTTGTCAATGGGCAGCTCCCGCAGGGGCCTCGCCCTAAGACCAGTTGTTTTCGAGAATCGCCAGGTCTCCCCAACTTGGCTGCCTTTGTGCAGAGGATGAAATTCATAGGCTGTACATTTGTTATTTGGGGGTTTGGGTACTTGGATCCTAGGATACACACTCTTCTTCTTCCCGCCATCATGTCCACTCTGGTCCAGGTCATGAGGCTAAACCCACAGAGATGCTGTTGGAGACAGTGGCTGCGACTGTGTGTCCTGAGATGTCCAGGGATTCCCGCTGAGCCCCACATCATCTAGAAAAGTCTAAGCTGATCCGCCCTCCAGCTAGTCCCCCCACTTCTGCACCCGGGCTGCAACCCCTATCCTCGGAAAGGACAAATGGTACAAGTTCGCTTAAAGAAACAACCTCAGCTCCAGTCGCTGTACCCAACATGGCCATCTTGTCCTCTACAGGACACACAACTCATCTGCCGAGGCTGCAGCCCGGGTGTCTCCTGTGAGAGGCGTGGCAGGCAGGCAGCAAAGATCAGGTCACATCAGACTGAAATCGTAGCTTCATGGTTATTTTCATTTCTTTCCCGGGAAAGACTTAAAGTCTTAAGGATGCTCTGAAGAAAAATGAGAAAATGTGGCCGATTCCCCAGGAGGGGAAGCTAAAGGGAAAAAGCACAGAAAGGAGAGGAGAGCTTTCTGAAGAGCGCAACCTGAGAAAAAGAACAAAGGAAGGAGGCCCTTGCTGGTGGCACAACAGGCTGAAGCACAGCTTGGTGAAGCTGTCCTCAGCCACGGTGGCGTGAGTTCCATCCCCAGACAGGGAGTGACCCACACGGTGCAGCAGACCTCTCCTGTCTCTCCACTGCAGTATGTTTCAGTCAGTCAGCCTGTTCTGCTGCCCACTCTGTGTCTGGCAAATCCTCTCACCTCCTGCACCTCAGGCCTGCACCCCAGTTCTTATATGCATAAATAAATATTCAAAAAAATAAACAGAAAATAAAGGAAGGAGTGGGTGTGGCTGGGTCTGTCAGCCTCGGGGGAGCTCCTGCCTCGTGGCTCAGCAGCTCTGATGGCTGCACTGGGGCTCTGGATGTGGGGTCCTGGCCTGTGGAGCTGAACAACTAGTCACTTCTCAGCGGTCATGTGGCTCATCTGTGCCGTGAGTGCTGTCTTTCTCCCCTTCCTGAGACAGGCACTTTATTTTAAAGATCTACTTATTTATGCATATAGAACTGGGGTACAGGCCAGAGGTGTAGGGGTGGTGAGAGGTGTCACCAGAGATAGAGCAGAACAGGCCGACTGACGAAGCACACTGCTGAGGGGAGCAGCGGGCGGGTCAGGAGAGGTCTGCCGCGCCCTGTGGATCTCCCTAGCCAGGAATCGAACTCGCACTGAGGCAGCTGTGGCCGGCTTCGCAGTGCAATGCTGCAATTCCTTGTGCCACCAGGGAGGGCCCAAGAGCGGCGATTTTGAACTCAGGCTGTGGGTGACGATGGCCGGTGCACTCTGCAAGGAAGGCACATGTGTATCATCGCAGTAAGCGCCACACTCATTGGTGCGGGCCCCACTGGCCCTGGTTTCACAAGCCGTAGAATTTCCTCCCTCTGAGATGACAAGTTGACGAGCGGGAGAGCGATGCAGCTGGGGAAACGCTGACGGAGAAAAGCTGGTTTTTCGCAGCACATCAAAAAATCAATCGCCATTTCTCATCCTATTTCAGCGACTAGCAGGCTCTCGGAACTGGCAAATGGTCTGTCAGCCTACACCCTATCACTTTAGCTGAGCTTACCAGTTTCGGGAGGGTACTTTGCCGGGCTCTAAAGCTCAGTATGCAGAAACAAGCAGGTGATTAGAGCAGAGCCAGGCGACACACTGACAGGTGAAGTGGAGAGCATTTCACGAATTTTCAAAATCCAAAGATGGTATCTTAGGTGTGCTACGTGAATATCACGTATAAAGTTTATTTACTTTTGCTTCTTGGTAGAAATAATTTGTATTGTAAGGGAGATGCCACTTAGAAACAACTAAAAACAGTCAAATTCTTGAACCACTGTCTTCTCCTCCGATATAAGGCTGTGCTCTCTGGGGCCATTTCAAGCAAAAGGCAATTCCCTGTCTCAGGTTGTCTTTGGTTATGGGCTGTTGGTAGTTTATGTTACTAACCTTCGTGGGAGGAGAGTGGAATGTTGAACATCTTCCTGTCTAGGAATGTGCAAGCCTTGCAAGCACAGATAAACACATTTCTAAAATAAGGACGTGCTGCAATGGAGACCAAGGAGAAGACGCCTTCACTCGCAGGCAGACCTGGGAGTCACCTCCTGCTGCTAAGCAACCCCCAGACTCCAGACTCATCTCAACTGGAGCTTCTAGGCGTGGCTCGGGCAGTTAAGTCACCTAGGTGCCAGGAAAACAAGGGGAGACTAGAAGAAGCACTCTGTGGGCAAGCGTGAAGTCCATCCGTAAGAACTGGGTTCCCAGCACACACAGTTCTGACCGTGCCCTGACCTTGAGCTGGGACAGGCATGCACACAGTTTACCCGGTCGCTGGGGCTTCTGGCGGCTAAAACGCAAGTACCAAGTTCCATAGTGCTGACGCAGGCTGTCTTCACGCCAGGTGTGCCACGTTCTCCTCGACAGGTGCCAATTCTTTTCTGTCTATGTTTTTATCAACTATGTTATGAATTCGCTTTTCAGTTGTTTTCACAGAGGTGCTGTTGATTGATGGCTGCCCTGCCGGGCAGATTTTGAATTTACCAGGCTTTTTTAAGCCTATCATGGGAAGACATTTAAATCAAGAGAATTTCCTTCTCTTTGTGACACCGCTTAGTTCATATTTCGTCTTATAAATGCACCTTTAATAAAATTGCTTATCAGTAAGCCACAGTACTTTTACTAACCTAAGAGGACATCTCAATTAGGTAGGAAGTAAAAAGGGGAGAAATAGGGAATGTAATGAAAAAGTGATTGGGCCTGGGGTCTTTTAAAAGGTCAGCATGTGGGGGTGACTAGAGCTGTCATTGATCACAGCAGAACACTCTGACGGGAGAGCTGGCCAGGCAAAGACGCAGGAGCCTCTGAATGAGCTTCTGGCGCAGAGAACCAGCCATTTGGCAGGGGGTCCTTACTTTCAGAATTCCACATAAACAAAGACCTACAATTTGAAGCATAGTAATCAAGTCATTATTTTAGTTCAAAAATACATCCTTATTTAGCAGAATTTATGATTCGATTCCCTTAAAGAGCAGACACTGCTAACACGTGATTCAGCGCAGAGGCTGGGAGCTAGTTCCCACCACCTCTGGGGGTCACCGTCCGCAGGCGTCACCCCGCTGGGCGCTCAGTGACATTTCTACCAGACGGGAGGCAGACACAACATTTGCTCAAGGCTAACTTCAAACTGTCTAGATCTGTAATGAAGCTTTTCCCGGGCAGCCTTTGTGAATTACAGTAAGTAGAGGTACCTACCCTCTGCTCGCTCGGCTACTCAGCAGCTTCCCCTCGGGAGGTAGGTGACTAGAAGCCCATTGTCAATGTGGTGAGGGAACAGCATTCCTGAGGCGACCTTTCGCTGTGCGGCGACAGCCAGTGACGCCCTTTGTGATTGCAGGTTCCTGTCACTGTGGAAAGTGCATTTGCTCTGCGGAGGAGTGGTATGTTTCCGGAGAATTCTGCGACTGTGACGACAGGGACTGCGACAAACACGATGGTCTCATCTGCACAGGTGCGCCACTCCCTGCTGGCATCGCTCTAGGTCATGCTTTGCCACCCAGCACGCACCGTGGTGCAGGGGGTTGGGGCGTGGGGACCGGGGAAGGGGCTGTGAGCATTGGGGGGTGAGCACTGAGGTTATTCCCAGGTGTAGAAGCCAAGGTAAATGCTTGTTGCTGGGAACCTTCCACAAAGCAACCTCCTCAATCCCCAGCTGACACACATGGTTCCGACACACACGGTCTGTGTTACGCGGAGCACGGCGGAGGGGACGGGGATTTCCTGGAAGCAAACCAGGCCCGCTCAGTCAGAGGTGGCTGGTGTGTGTCCAGGGAACGGGTGTGTGTGTCTTTGGGGTGTGGAGGGCTGGAAAATACTGAGCCGATTCACAGATACCGTTCTCCTAAGTTGTTGAGGCCTAAAACCTGGCTACAAGGTTCATTTACTTTCAAATAAGTTACAGGGGAAACAGAGACATGTATATTTGTCCTCTTAGCTTGTAACTGAAAGCTAGAGGAATATTTGTGTGAGTGGCTGAACTGGACTTCAACTCTCTGTCCGTGGCCACTGCTCAAGGCTTCTCTTTTAGGTGATGACTTGGCCTATCTCAGACTATTCCAGGAGATTTTTTTTTTTAGTTTTGACTCATAAGTCATACACAACTTGCTTCCTACAGGAAAGCAAACATGTCCCAGAAGGTCAGCTGGAGCTCTGCTAGATGGTGGCTGTTTGGTCTCTGCTCCATTGACCCGGGCATCAAATAGATGCCATTAGTTGCTAGAGAGATCAGACTTCTCACAGCTTTTGAGCAAGATGTACTAAGACCCGCCAACAGTAAGAAATTCTGCAGAGTGGATGAAGGGGTGTGGCTGGCCAGCGGTCGGCCACCAGCGGCCCGGGGCGGTCGCCCACGTCACGACGCGCTCCCTATGCTCTGGTTGCAGGAAACGGCATTTGCAGCTGCGGGAACTGTGAATGCTGGGACGGCTGGAACGGCAACGCGTGTGAGATCTGGCTCGGCACGGAGTATCCGTGACAGTCCCGAAGAAGGGGGCGGGAGTCTTCCTGCTGCAGGCCTCTGGAACAGATAATGCTAGGAAGCCGTGTGTAATCCCCACGTGGACAGATCCACGTTTCTCTGTGTCGCAATGCCTGGATGAAATACGGGCACCCATTAAAAGTGAGTTGAACAAACTCTGATGTCAATGACACCGGAAAGAATTTTTCTTCCATAATTTGCCTCAGCGATTCCCGAGGAAGCAACGCTGTCACCTAGTAACATGCAGTGTCCGCAGACAATGTTGGGTGTCATGCGGGGTGGGTGGGAGTGGGCGCTACGGGCCTTTGGTGGGTAGAGGCGAGGGTCTGCCCCCGGGCACGGATGATCGGCTCCGAAGGTCAGCGGCGCTGGGGCTGAGACGCGCTGCATTGCGTGGTTGTTGGAGATGCATGTCCCCACGTAAGAAAGACATAGTAGAGTGTAAAGACCACGTTGGAATCTAGAGCCACTCAGGCCCACTGCTCCTACCCCTCAGGCTCCTTATGCCTGAGAAACCCCAGGTGGGGACAGTAAGACAGACACACAAAGTCCGATGTCTCAGGCCAGAGGCCATATCACAGTGCTTTTGCAAGAAACAGGCTGACTAGTTATGAAGTCATCTGTCAGTTTTCACATTCAGTTCCCAAAAGGACATTCTCATAAGATGAAAGAAAGGATGAAAATGCACAATTGAACATTTTTAATGAGTAGCAACAGAAGTTGTGTACACTGTGTCAGTATATATTTACCTACTGATGATTCATCCCCCCAAAATGAATTGCTGTTCAGGAATACTCAATTTATGTTACTAGAACATTTTCGTGTGTTTTCAAGAGGGCAGAAGTTCCATGTACAAGGAATCTGATGTTTTACTATTTAAATTTCTCCATGGTGTAAGTTGCCTTAAAAAAAAAGAAAATCTAGTTGGATGTGACGGGCCTTACTATGCATTGATTTCCCTGAAAAGTCTCTCTTGTTTCTAAGAATCCATGTATCTGGGCAGGTTGAGTCAGGCAAAGAAGTCAGAAGAGATACTGTGATAGAGTGGCACCATTCTCAAAAGCTCAGAGGGTTAAAAAAAAAAAAAATCCAAAATTGGCTAAATAGAAATTACAAATATCCACTCGATGATAGGAACAAAATGTTTATTTCTTAATGGTGAAATTTTGCTTTTTATGAAATTCACATTGAATTATGAAAATGTACAGTAATTTGGACTTCCCTTACATATTTACAGTTAAATCTACTTATACACATTAGTTTAGGCAGCCTTTAATTATTTAGAGCTAAAAAAAAAAACACTTTTCTTCTAAATGTGAATTATATTTTGTAAAATCCTAGAATAAACAAAATCATCCCCATATTGCATAAGGTGAAAATTTTTACTTGGAAATTTTGCTTTATGATATAACTATTCTAAAGTCATGGTTTGAACTTTATAAGTCAAATCACCAAAAATAAAGAAAAGATGCATTGGCTGAGTTACTCAAAAATTTAATATCGAAAATTATTTAATAGAGAATTTAACTGGTGCTGATTTGTATAGACTAACAGTGTTCTCTGTTATTAGATTTATAAAAGTGTTATCTCTATCCTGAGATTAAGAAGTGCAGCAGTATTCCTTTATGAGTTTTATCTCTATGATTGAGAAAGTCAGTTGATTTATCAGTTTTGTAAAATGAGAAAGCAGTCAGAAAATAACACAGATTATATTCTTTCCACTTCCTAAGCGTTTGAGCCTCAGACAAACCTATTATAATTGTTCTGTAGCAACTGGATGACTTAACTGGTGATGCACAGGGATTCACTCCATTATCAGCCACCACGGCACAGGGGCCTTAAGATTCCTTGTTGTAGAGCTTCATTTTTCAAAAAGGGCCAGATAACAAGTCGTGTAGACTTTGTAGGTCACACACATCCTTGTCACGTATTTTTTGTTTGTATGTTTAATAACTTTAAGTTGTGAAAAGAAAACAAACCAACAACCTCATTCTGAGCTCCCGTGCCATAAAAAGCCAGATTGTGAAGGATCTGACTCACAGCTAAGCAACAGTTTCCTCATCTCTGCTCTACTGGAACTGCCTTTAATTCCCTAGACCTCATCACACACATAACCTAATGTGACCTATTTTTTCTTTTCATTCTCTCTATTTGTTAGCCCTTCTCATTAGTAACAACTACAAGTATAAAGTGCATCTCCTTAAACCTGCATATAAGAAAAAGACCCTCAGCATTTCTGTCTTTTAAGAAAAAGATTAGAATGGAAAAATGATTATACCATCAAGATGACTTTCGTTCAAGTTTCTTGACAAAGACTTAAATACAGTCTATTTTCTGGGGTTCATTTCGTTACAAGTCACTGAGCTGAAACTGAATTATAATCACATGGTATCTAAACTCTAAGGAGTACTTTCCTTTTAAAACACATATTTTCTTTTTACTTCTTTGTGTCCGTTGTACTATTTTCCGTGTATGTATGTGATTTTGACTCTAGCAATCCAAACATCCACAGGTTAAAAAGTGACTTGTTGGCATGATAAAGTTGGAAATAAATAAACATAGTTATGAAAATATATAAAGTCCACCCTTCTTAAATGTTATTTTGTCCTTTGATATGTGATTCCACCCTGAGACAGAGACTCCCTGTTAAAAAGAGAAGGCAGGGCAGCGTAAGCTTCCAGTGGAGGTGGACTGCTGGACGGGCCAACGTGTCGGCCCGTGCATTTGGGAAGGGAGCCACACGTTTGCTGGTGGTGCTGGCACTGACCCTGCTTCCTTGGCAAACTGTCACTGAGGCATTCTTTCCTCTGGGCTTTTCAAAAAATGTTGACCAAATCCTTATAGTCTAAGAGGAGAGTCATCATACCCCACTGCTTTCCTGGACTCCTTGAGCTAAAATAGATTCCTGCAATATACTGAAAGAAAACTTTCCACTTAATACGAACACAATCTCAGCCAGCAAGAGTGACCCATATAGAAAACCATGAAAGATAATGATAATAATAAAATAAAAGCCTTTGTTCACTGTCATTGTCAGACTTTGAAACCCTAACTACTATTCAAGAGGGTCACCAGGCTCTGGGTATCCCTTTCTGAGCTAAGAAACTCAAAACCCCAAAGGTATTTTGTCACAGTAATATAATTTACATCTGGAATCTGGATCTTGACATCTCTGCCTTTTTAGCTCAACTGCTTTCTCTGGATAATCTTTTTCTGAAAGAAATTTGAAAATAATTTTCATCTTTTAAGACGGATTTCCTAGGCAGTCACAGTCCCATTCTGGTCTCTCTAGCAAATATTAATTATCACCGTCGTAGCAGGGAGAAAACTTTACATGAAAAGATACATGTCTAAATTAAAGAAATACTCCACTCCCCCCCGCACCCTTGTTCATCTCTTAAAAGAGAACTAAAACCAATATTGTTCATGCTGAAGGAAAAAAAAAAAAAAGATGGTTTTAATTAAGCGGCTAGCTTAGGTGTGATCATGACATTTGGCTCACTCTGCAAGGGGCAAGTAACTGGAAAGACCAGGGGCAGGAGTTTTCTGGACCACTGTAAAGCTCTGGAAGTCACTCCCACAAACACTCAAGGCGAGCAGACATTCTGAGTGAGCATTTACATCTCCAGGGTTTGTCTTGAAATAATGCTTAACTCCAGTTCACTCTTTACATGGGCAGGCCATGTGCATCTCTCCTATCATTTACCAAGTAAAGTTGTGACAAATCGTTTCAGAAAACAAACAAAAGCGGTGTTACTTGAAATGCCAAAACAATGCACATTCCCGAGCATTGTTGAGGGACGATGGGGTGGGCAAAACAATCAGCTACCACAAGAAATCAGTAGAAACAACCCGCCCACACCAGCTATGTGTGCAAAAGGAATGTGCTATTTGAGATATTTGAAACTGACTCATGTCCATGGAAATACAGAACACACAGACTGTAAGTACAAATGAATTCCATCAGAGTTACCACACAGAACATCAAGAGTGATGGATTGCACTTATTTTAATAACAACAAACGTAGTTTTTGAGGGGAAAATGCTGGCGTCTTATCCCCAAAATATCGCAAGAGAGGTATCAAAGAGCTAAAATTTTCTTTGGCATGATAAAAGGGGCAAATGAATTTACCAGCTTGTTTACATGATACTTCTCTCTACGTGGGGATGCAATGCCATTTGTTACATAAAGATGTTTGATGTTTCTTGATAGGCCTCATATAAATATTTTATTCAACATGTTGTATTTTTGAATACAACAAATCATACTGGACAAAGAAACTGTACAATACAGACTGACTTTGTGTGTAAGTCGAGTAATACAGACCGACAGTTCTTAATACGCAGGTCCCATTGCATGCAGTCATCAGACCTGTCCTCGCCCCATGCAATGGTGAGACCAGACACAACATGAAAATGGTCTAACTAAATCACAGGTCACAAAGCCCCTCTGCGATATGTCTAAACATAGAGTAGTAGAAGGTATGTCGACATCGTTTCACGGGGATAGATCCCCTTACAGATGAGTCGTTAAAAAAAATAAAATAAAAACCATACAAGAAGTGCACATTTACAGAACTCTCAGAACTTACAAACACAAAGCCTGTCTTAAGTTTAACCAAGCTAGCAGGGGAAAAAGAATTTAGCAAGTAGAGCTGACAAGGTGAGAAATAGGTGGGGTTGTTTGATGTGTGAGTGTGGTGTAAATGTGTGCACGTGTGTGGGGGGGCAAACAGTGGCTATAAGCCCCTCTAACTGGAATTTCAAGTTATATTATTTATAGTTAGTCGTACATTATCAAATACAGTATTCCATCAATAAACCATACTAGTCGGATAATGAGATTCTAGTGTTTTTTAACTTATTTTGTTAAGAATGATGGATTTGTAAAGGATGGAAAGAGAGAGAAGTCATGAGGGGTCAGAGAATCATCTTGTATTTGTTCTTCAGCATCATCGACAATAAATGTACTCAAACGTTATGCTAACTTTTTATTTATTAAAATGGAATCCAATATGAAAATGAAAGAAGCATTAACAGTTAAATTGATACTAAATCTTTAATCAGCTAAGCAGGCCAACATTTTTGATGCTGGGCAAGGGCTGTCGTGTGGACGTAGGAAAGCAGTGGCAAAAGACTTTCCCAGGAAATACAGTGCAGGTGGGGGGCGAGGTGGCGGGTCACCCTCCCCTGGACAGAGTTACAAGAGGCCCGGTACCGTCCCACATCAAGTTTTCTGTAAATGAGGTTAGATTTGGTCTCAGTGAACTCTTTTGAGAAGAAAACATTGAGTTTTATTAAGTACACATACAGTTAACAAATAGATTTCCAAACAGTTGAGCACTGAACATTCGGAAACCCCTTCCACCCAACCTGAACAGCTGCCGAGGCTTCTTGGCCGCCGATGGTCAGCAACTCCTGGCCCTTCAAGAGCTCAGAGTTCAGCAGGCTTCAATTCCGAAGAAAACACAGAAAACAAAATCAAATCGATGGGATGGGCCGAAAACCTGATGGCCGAATGCGTGGGCTGGCGTTTAGCTGGACCTAGACAGCTCTACAGACCGCATTCCGCGGTGGCGGGAAGGCACCCCTCACCCAGCCTCTGGGCCCCCCGGCTGCCGGGGCAGAGCCAGGGGCGTGGACTGGTGATGCACAATACCCGACTCAGCAATGCTGAGCTCAAAAAATATTTTTTCCCCTCATAGGTCCAGTTTAAAAACTTGTCATCGAACACCAAAAATAGTAAAGTCTAATTTAGAACTAACGTTTGCATTGCTGCTGCAGAAAAGGAACACAACAGGCCCTTGCCCATGCTCGGCTGGGGTGAGTCGGAACGCAGCCAGACCCGGGGACGGCGTTCAACTCCGGTTCCTTAAAAACAGGAAGGGTAATGTCGGAAATGGGTGTAGGTAGCGCAATTCTTGCAGGATGTAATTACTGACGTTTCTTTTGTCTTTTTTTTTTTTTCCCAAATAATGAGGGTTAGTAGATGAAAAATGAACCTTAATCAGGCCCACAAGGCCTAGAGTTCTTTGGACCCACTTTCTGAAAAACCAGTGGGTCTTGCTCGCTGGGCAAGGCAAATGTCACCGTTACCAGTAAGCTTGTGATATGTATAAAACACACACGCACACGAAGAGACTAGAGGGGCCGTCAAACGCCAGGGTGGACAACTCTCCACCGCCGGCTCGACCCGCTGCTCACCCCGGCCACACCCACGTGGGGAGCCCAAGTCCCTGGCACTGGGCCGGGGGCCCATGTGTGTTTGCTCGCTAGTGGGAGCCGCAGACCGCCCTCCTAGTCTTCAGAGATGCGATTGGTAATGGGAGGGGTGGAGGCTTCCTGATCCCCTGCTCGCTCTCGGAACTAAGCCCACTGCCACACGGGAGCGCTCGAGGACACCCTCCCTGCCACGGGCCCCAGACGGCGAGGCGGCACCCCGTGGCCGCGGGGCGAGGACACATCCAGAACAGCACAGGTTTACAGCGGCTAACTAGAAATTACTCAAGAGTATTGGTGTGCGACAAAATCGAACTGAAACACATGGATTTCGGCTGAAACAGGACTCAAAAAGGGTGATGGGTAGCTGTCAGCAGGCAAGGTGTTGAGTGTACTTGTGAAGGATGTCATTCACATGAAGTGTCACAGTCACAGAAAAGATATTAAAAAGGCATTCCATATCTGGCAGGGCATTCCATGGTCTGAGTGGAGCTCGTTATCTGGGTTGTCTTCTTGCCGTGGGGGCGCAACGGGTGGGGGTCAGGCCGCTGGCAACCAACAAGTTCGAGACTGCAAGGAGCCAGCCTGGGCTCGCCTCCCGCTGCTGCCCGGCCCGGGGGCAGGAATGTCCGGCAAGGACACATCCCTCGGCCGGGCCCCCCGGGCGAGTCAGTCTCCGCGCCCGCGTCAGGCTATGTGGTCTTACTTTTGTTGACTGGTTTGCCGCCATTCATGATGGCCGACGCGCTTGTGCTTTTACTCGGCGTCACCCCGGCCTTCGGGACCGTTTCTCCAACGTCATGCAGAGACGGTTCTCGGTACATGGCAACTAGTGACGGGCGGGAGGGCACCGAGGAGGAAGAGCAGAAAGGACAAGTTACCCGCCTGGCCCGGGAGGGGCAGTCCACACACACACACACACACACAGGCCGGGCCCTGGGCCCAGCCCATTCTCGCAGAGGCAACCCCCTGGCACGGGGGTTTCCTTTGGGGAGGAGGAGGACGTGGCCGTGCCCCAAACGGAAGACATTCCTTTCTCATATTCCCTGGTGTATGAGCCTAAAACGGGCACGGGAGAGAGTGGGCTTGTGCCTGGGAGAGACGGCTGAATGGAGTTACGCGGGTCCCCCGCGCCCCCACCTACGACATGCCTGCGCCCGCCCGCTGCAGCTCCGGGAAGGGGAGCCTTTCACCTAATTCTCTTTGCACAGCAGGACAACTCAGACACCCTGAACACACGTGGACCACTCACTCCCAGTCCTCTTGCCAACTCCAGATCGTTTACTCCTAGGTCATGAAACTACCTGTCGCTCAGGTGGTTCAAAAGCAGCAGAGTCCCTTCAAAGTCTCTCTACAAAGCAACAGCCAAGAATCTCCCACCCCCAAGCCAACGCCTCTGGATCAGTGTCCAGATGCAACCCCCACTCCCAATCCCAGGAAGAGCAGCTGTGGGAAAGAGTAGTTTCTTTTTCTGAAATACGAAAAAATGGAATAATTGATGCCAAAACAGGCAGACGCACAGACTGAAAGTGATGGTACGTGAGTCCCAAGGAACTGTCCGAGTGACATCCGGGGACAGAATCCATCACTTGTGGGCTTTTTAGACAAGGAATTCCAGGGAATCTGGGAAAGAACATTCAGAAGTGACCAATGTCACTGTCCTCAGAAATACAAGTGACTTCAAACTGCCCTGCCTGCTTTCTAGGCTTTTGGAAGTTTCTGGTGGTGTAGGAAGAGAGCGTGAGTTGGGTTCGGATGGACTGCCAGCTGTGTCCGCCATGTGCAGGCCCACAGGAGGCTACCTTTTGCCTCAATGCATCATGGGATGTTCCAGTGGCACATACATTTGAAAGTACATGTGCACCTCGGTCCTGGGCTGCGCAGGTAGTAACAGGATCCACCCATGTCTGTCGCTCCCAGTGCTAGTGACACCAGGAGGTTCCAGACACCTCAGCGATTGCCTGGATTATCTGTGAAGTTGTGTGAGAGACGAGCCTCGGTAATCAATCCGGGCCTCGTCGGTGCTAACCTTCCAAGGCCATCATCACTGCCCAGATGGGTTTTGAACGTGTGAGATGTATTTTCCTCTATGTGAGAACCTTTGTCATTATCTGAATTGTTCTTAGAGCACTTCGGCTCTTGACAATGTGTCAATTCTTGGACAATGCTGTTTCTTCCTGGTATAGAGCTACATGTCCAGCTCACACGCACACACATCGGGGAGCTGTGTGACGGGTGTGACAAGCACACAATGTACCGCGTCTCTAGAGCCGCGCATGTTTCCTGCTGGATGGCCAGAAGGGCTGGTTTCCAGATGTTTCCTCAGTTAAGAGACATAAATAGGCCCTTTGAGTATTAGTTGTATTTACACATCTAAGAGGTGCGGTTTTAGAAATTTAGTCAGTTCTTTTCTGTTTATATTCAAGACAAAATCTAATGAAAAGAGACGAAGCCAGGGCATGAACATGGTTTTTGTAGAGCTGCTGTGCATCAAGTTTTACAATTGTACACTTGTACTCAGAATCCACTTAAAATAATAAAACAAAATCATGGATACATTATTTTGGAGGAATAGAGACACCTTCTAATTTCTTTTTTTCTTTAACTCCAATTTTCCTTATAATCTACTGTATAATTAAAATAATTCATTCATATTTCATACTCTGGCAAAATTTTCCCTTTCCTAGACAGGCCTGGTGGCCAATTGTTTCGGGAAATAATTTCTTCTAGAGGCAGATTTAATTATTGGTGATAGTTACTTAGCATCACTGAAATCGCAAAGATGGCATTCACCAAGAAGAGTGGTTTAGGCAGACTAAAAGCTGAATTATAAATCCAGTGATAATTAAGAATTAACTTTCAACATTTCAAATGACTTTGATCCTATTTAAAGAAAAGGAACTATAAAACCAATGGGCATTTTCTCTTGATGGCTATGTCTTTCCTGTATGATGAGAAATAAAAGAGAACCCAAATGTCTAACTAGCAGCCTTACGGTTATTATAACAACTGCCTTACTAGCTAGTATAATTCTCTGCAAGAAAAAGACAGTTGAATACAAAGCATTTTTGAAAAGCCTCACTGTTAATGGTCTTCTCGTTCCTAAACCAATGTTACATAGATGAAAGTAAGCATCCTGAAGGGGCAAGGTGTGGATGTTTCTGATTCATTAACAAAACTTAGCAGCTTGCTCTCTGGGAACCTCGTCAAAGCAAATGCAAAGAGTTCATTGTTCACGGGGGACTGCAGATGAATTCATTATCTTAGTAAAGGAAGGTGCCTCCACTCCTGAATTTACTGTCCACTCATGGATTTGAACAGGGACTCTGCAGCACCGACAAGGTCTTTAAGGCCACATGATTAATTCTTCATTTCCTGTGAACGTAATCCACCATTGTGTGATTACTTGCATCAACATAACAGCAAGGACAAACACTTTTACTGCAAAATACTCCAGGCTTAGTGTTCCTACTGTCCTGACTGCTCCAGATTTATAATATCACTACAGATTCTTAAAAAGAAAATGTTTTTTGAATTAAGACTATTCGGGGTTAGAAAAGTTGGGGTAGTGAGGGTCTGAGATACAAAAAGTGAGCAAGAGGGTGTTTCCTGGCATTCTGCAAATGTAATGGGCTAGCTGAAAACAGCTGAGTATATTCGATGCCTGGGTACATGCCATCGGCTTGGGCATCTCTGTGCAGACAGATCCTCACATGACCTATTTACAGTAAGTGCAGGAAAGGCACGGGTCTTCAAATCACAGCTACACAGACACCCGCTGATCACCACCCAGATCCAGAGAAAGCACCTCTGTCCTCCAGGGGTCCTTGTCCCAGGGTTTAGTTATGGGTGTGAAACAGGAAATGTGTGATACAGCCGACAGGGGGCGCACACACCACACTCACCTTCCAATGGCTTGGGGAGAAAATGAGCTGCTGGCTTGGTTTTCTTTACTCTGTTTCCTTTCATAACTTGCCCTTCCTTATTCAATCCCAAAAACCAGGCTCTACCAGATTCCTGTTGTCTGTACAGCATAGATGAGTAGATTACATAATAGTTTTCAAAAACAGATTCTTTAAACTTGCATTCAGGGGTAAAAAGTTCCTGTGGAGAGAAGGGGAGAAGAGAGTTAGAGAGAAGAACAGAAGCAGCCCTGGGCCTGCAATCACTACTCCAGAAACTGACACACAATGGCACTGAGCAGGCTTGGCCAGGGACAGCCAGACCTTGATGGGTGTTACTGCATATGCTAACTGTCCATACACCTTTCCAATACTCGCTGAATAGAGCAACTGGCTACTATTGAGAATATTTATCTATCCTTCCATCCATCCATCCATCCATCTCTCCAGCCATCATCAATGTATCCATCCATTATCAATATATCCATCCATCCATCCATCCATCCATTATCAATATCTCCATCCATCCATCCATCCATCCATTATCAATATATCCATATATCCATCTGTCCATCTATCCATCCATCCACCCACCCATTATCAATATATCCATCCATCTACCCACCTATCTGCCTAAGCAAATGCCTGGATGCTCTTCAATAGGAAAACAAAAGATACATTAAACTCAAAAAAGTTTCAATTAAACAGAATACAATTCAGCCAGTGACTAACCAAGGACACATCAAAGTAATTCACAATAAACTAAACAGAAATAAGTTTATATCAATATTGGCTCCCTATCAGGTAAGTCATTCACTGGAAGAATTTCATTAAAATCCTTGTGATTAAAGAAAGGGACAGTATAATTTAGTATTCTGATGACAGCCTTGTTACAGAATGGGTGTCTGTGAAAGAAGGGGGGAAGAATGGGCATCACAATTCCATCCCTCCCCACTCACAAGCTGATGGGGGGTAGAGTGTTATGTCAGTGGGCATGGGGCAAAGGAGGTGGGAGATGTGTGGAGAGGAGACCTGGAGAAGAGAGAGATGGTGAGAGGCACAGGGCCCGTCCTTGGCAGAGACAGCAACAGCCAGCACCTTCACTTCGTGGCGTGTCATGTACTAGATGCTGAATTCGGGTCGCTCCTTCAGTCCCAGCTCTTTGGGACCTGCTTGCTCCCTGCCTGTGGTTCCCATCAGAAAGTCCCTGAGGCATGTGGCATGTGACAAGTTTTTGGGCTTCACTGTCCCTCTTTGGGCTGAGCCTATTTGTGCCATGAGAGCTGCACACATGTCTGTCTGCTTGGGAAGCTATTATTCGAAGTCCCGTTCTCTCTCTCTCTCTCTCTCTCTCTCTCTCTCTCTCTCTCTCTCTCTCTCTTGCTCTCCTTTCTTTTCTTTTGTGTGTGGAAGGCCAAACCCTTTCAGAATGTACCAAATGGAGTTTCCCCTTAATGGTTTGGAGGCCCTAGGTAGCTGTGCAATTAAAGTACAAACTCACTTTATGAAATAGAAGTGGGATCATAGATGGGATGATGGTTCTGCAAGAACCATCAAGAAGGGGCCTGGCAGGGTGTGTCTGGAGAACTATGATTAGCCTGTCACTGGCATACAGGTTTGTCAGGCCAGAAGTGGGGATGATGTGGCAGGATGGTAATTGCAGAAATGAGGTGAAGGTTCCGGGCCACTCTGGTAGACAGGTCAGACTTCTTACAAGCAAGAAGTAAGCATGCAGAGTTACTGAATCCCATAGCTTGGTTAGTATTTAATACACAAAAACCTTTTGTCAATGTAGAGGCTTTTGAATGGCCCAGTCTCTTGTGGAAGAGACTTGAACATTGCATATATACGTCCTTTTTAGTAATTTCTATAATATATATATAGTAATCAACAATGCACACACTAAGGGGAGAAATACGACCAGGATTATGACGTACTATTAAATTGAATTCTGAAATTCCTGGAAACTAAGAAATAAAGGGACAGACTACATGTTCTAAGAATTATTGGAGACAGGACATATTTTCTTTCTTCGCACTGACACCTAAAATGTATTCCCTTGTGGCCCTCCCTGGTGGTGCAGCGGGTTAAAGCACAACACTAAGAAGCTGAAACCACTTCCGCATGAGTTCGATTCCCGCCTGCCCCGGAGGTGACCACATGGCGCGACAGACCTCTCCTGACCCGCCCGCTGCTCCCCTCAGCAGTGTACTTCGTCAATCTGCCTGTTCTGCTCCCCACTCTGTCTCTGGTGAAGTCTTTTGCCACCTCTGAGTCTCTGGCCTGTACCCCAGTTCTGTATGCACAAATAAATAAATCTTTAAAAAAAAAAAAGTATTCCCTTGCAAGGTAAGAAATATCATTGACCAAATTGTAACAGGGAGTCCCCAGGAAAAGGGAAGGTTCCAGGTTCCCTGCCCCACCCAAAGGAGGGTGGAGCTGAGCAGAGAAGAATCTGGAGAGGAGACTGGAGAAGAAGGAAGCAGGATGGAGCCAGAGAGACAAGTGAAGCAGCAGCCGTTTCTTGGCCCTGGACTGGGTGACACAGGTGTGGGCGAGAGACCCGTGGGAGGTGACGGTGGCAGCGTTTATCTTGATGTTGATGTTGCTCTTTTCCTCCCAGACTTGTCTGTCCGTTGCTGACCCTTTTCTGTGGGTGCCCTTCAGAAGGTGCTTTAGACTGTGGTGGCTTTCAGGCCTTGTTTGGGCCAGTCCCTTTTGGGTGGACTTTTACCCATGGGGGGAGAGGTAACTTTGTGTGTGTGGGTTAGAAGCTATATTCTTTGTCTTTTCTGTATTGCACACTCATTGTATTAAAGTTCCTTCCCATGAAAGGTCTGATCGGTTTCATCTTGATGCGGTGGATGGCAGAGCCTACTTAGAGCGGGCAGATGTGAGGGCTTGGAGAGCCCCTCCCCTGCCCTGTAACAGAATGACCAAATCAACAAAATAAAACACATAAGCAAAGGTGTTCTGGGTGGTACTTGTACAACTAATACAGTCAGAGATCTGTGTTCCAGTCCCACAGTAAGCTTTTGTGGGGACGGCTGCTTGGAAAAGCTCCGCTGATGGACTTGAAATAATTGTGACTGATGATGTCTTCAGCAGGACAAGCGCCACAGTGGCCAGGCAGGGACACTAGGGAAGGGGGACGCTGATACCCTGCTCCCCTGGGAGGGAAAGGTGCCAAGCTCAGCTCTCTCTTTGGTGTTAAAAAGACAGAAGGCCGTGGAAGGAGGCTGTTCCACACACGCTTCCTAGGTCAAAAGACGAGCCTCGCACCTTTAGTAGATCGAATTTTTCCAAGTAAGTAATCGATGCACCTAGGGGAAAACTGTCTATAAGATGACAAGTAGGGCCCTCCCTGGTGGCGCAGCGGGTTAGGACGCAGCACTGCAAGCTGGCCGCAGCATCTTCAGTGCGAGTTCGATCCCCCACTGGGAGGTGACCCACATGGCCCAGCAGACCTCTCCTGTCTCCCTGCTGTTTCCCTCAACAGTGTGCTTCACTGATCTGCCTGTTCTGCTCCCCACTCTGTTTCTCACTGCCCCTGAACCTCTGGCTTGTACCCCAGTTCTGAATAAATAAATAAATCTTTAAAAAAAAAGATAACAACTAGCTCTTGGGGGATTTTTTTTTTTTTCAATATACTGTGGACCAAGGGCCTGGGACGGGGTGAGCCTGCCAATGGAGAGCAGCAGGAAAAGTACTAACTCCACTGCCCCAACTTCCACTTGCCTAACCCATGATGGCCCTGGCGAGTTTCTGCACTGTCCACGCCAATCTGAGAGTGTTTAATGAAATTTAAATTACAATATAGGCCCTCCCCGGTGGTACAGGTGGTTAAAACACCGCACTCTGAAGCTGTCCATAGCCACTGCAGCACAAGTTTGATCCCTGGTCAGGGAGCTGACCCACATGGCCAGGCAGACCTCTTCTGACCCCACCCACTGCTCCCCTCAGGAGTGTGTTTCAGTTAATCTGCCTGCTGTGCTCCCCACTCTGTCTCTGGTGAATCCTCTCACCCCCCTTACCTCTGTCCTGCACCCCTGCTCTTGTATGGGTAAATAAATAAATCTTAAAATAATTCCATTATAAACTCTTTGAAATTACCAAAATGAAATAGTAAGGAGTTCGCTGTTTCTCCTTGTCATCTTGTCTGTCTATATTTAGAACCTTCAACACCACCACAGTAAAATCAACAGTTGAGTTCAGCAGAAGCTGAAATATTAATCTGTATCATTGCCAAACTAAATCATGGAATCACAGAAGAGAAAAACACAACAATTAAATCACAAAAATTCCACATCTCCTTTTATGTTGAGGTTGTTTTGGAAATGAAGCCCATCCGCGGCATCTTTATTATCTTAGCAGTAGTACAGAATTCCTGTTCTGAGAGACAGGTCTTTGTTCTGGAAACTCCCCTTCCCCAGGCCCTTTGCATCCACAAAGCCAGGTTCCCAGGCTCAAAGGAGAGGGTGGGGGGAGCAGGGCCAGGAGCCATGATTCACAATGTGCTCACCAGCCATAAATCCAGGTCCTGTGTTTTGTTGTTTTCTTAATTGGTTGTTACTGGAGTCCCATAATTTTACAGCCTTGCTAGTGTTCTGACATTCGCGTACAGTCACGTAACTCTGCCACCCCCAAAGGAGCTGCAGACCACCCCACCGAAGTCCCTTTTTCATCCCTCTTCCTCCCCAAGCCAAAGACCTATGGTCAGTCTCCAAGGGCTGGTTTAAAGTCTGTCTGACAAAGACAGAACATTTATCCACACACAATATCTACCCACTACATCTCTGACATAGCTGGAACCTCAGAACTAAAAGTGGCCTTGAGACTGTAACTCAGCAAACGCCAGCTGCAACCCAGCTTGTGGACCACGGACAGACTGACAGCTGCTTCCTGTCCTGGTAAATTCGCGACACAAAGTTCAGAGCGGAGTGTTTGAGACAGACTGAGAATTTGAGACGGAAGGCCTGCAAAGTTGGAAATGCTTGTTTTTGGCTCCTCTGCCGAAAAATGTTACCAAGCCCAGTCTAAGGTAAACTGAGGATTTTGCAACCTAGAGAAATGGGCCTGTGGGTGGAGGATTTGAGACTCTACATCCCTCAGGAGATGAGTGTTCCTAAATTAAGCTTGAATTGCTTTTCAGAAAACAAACGTCACACTTTTCATCAGCATCACTTTCATGCCTGGAAATCT